AACAGGTGTTAGATATTGGAGGACAAATTGTGAACCTCTCTCTCATGCTGGCAATTAACTGATTACTATTATAAGTGGCATATATATGGTGTTTAGCATGAAAAAATCAGTTGGAAAGTAGTAATAGCAATAAAAGTCCACAAAATAACCAGAAATATATTTCCATGTTTCAATCCCTGATTACTAACTGAATTGCTTAGCTTTCTGTATAGCTGCTTTTTTTTTTTAGGAATTTGTTTAAAACAATGACTTACTTTTTCAATGGAATTCTACAGTTATCTTTACCTCATCAATATTAGATGAAATAATAAAGTGGATGACTCTAGTTCCATATTCATTGAATCCAATGGAAATTTTGCATTTGACTTTGTGGCTAGTTTTATGATCTATTTTCTTCTTGTGGGTATATGCAGACAGGAGTGTTTAGGATATTTCATATTGCAAAATACCAAAAATTTCAGTATTCTTTTTCATCTTCAAATCTTTAAAAAAAAAAAAAGACTTCCATCCTGCAGCTCTTAACCTGAAAATCAAAGGTGCACTGCTTGTGTAAGTACTTCAGGATCAGAACCATAATCACAGATATCCCAATGGAATTCTAGTCCTGGTTAGATAACTTAATCATGTGCACATGGGAAGGCAGACTAATTGAAGGCTCATAAACATATTTATATGATACTTTTTAGCAACTACTAATGGTTTTCGTTGTTTGTGTGTGTATAACCTGCACCAAATCTGGTCCTAAGAAATAAAAGTAGAGAAGACAATGGTAGCAATATGTTCAGCATCAAAAATATACTGCCCTGCTTTGGAACCTAACTCCTGTACTTTAAGATAATCAGAACTCTAAAGATTCCTGGTGGCTTCCAAGAATGTTACCCATGTCTGTTGTCCCTTAGATTTGAAATAAAAATCAAGACAAAAATCGGACAATATTTGTAAGCTTAAACTCAAGCTGCAGCGATTTGTAAGTGACATCATGTAGAAGAGGACAGAAAGTTTGTGATGCCATTAGTAAACAGACGAGGATCTAAACAGGATATTTTTCTTCTTTGTGATTTCTCCTTTGTCTCAGTCACTTTACAACTAAATTCAGCCACTGACTCCCGCCCTTGTTTTTCTTGGACAGGCTGGTAATATGACGAAATATTACAATTAAAATGAGAAGACACCCATTTACATGCATATATTTGAATATGATTTGATTCCATCAGTTTAAGGGATAGTACATACACTTGATCTTTGCCGTATGAAATATAAAAGGGGTTTATTTAAATCTCCCTGTTTTTTCTAGATTGGAACCCCTCCCCTCCCCCCGACCCTACTACGTTGTCCTACTATCTTCCATATCACTGACCCATCTCTTCCCAACCCCCTGTGGACGAGAGAAAAAAATAGAACTTGATAGCCAAGCAAGCTTTTTCTTTTTTCAGCTCGAATTGCTAATGCTCTTGCCATGACATTCACAATTGTTTAAGATTTGTAATGCTCTCATGTGTTCAACACATGGGTAACAGATATTTCTGTTGTCAAGAATCACATAGTCAACGGAAAGCAGTTAGAATCATAAATAAAGCAAACCTGATCAGATACTACATACTTCCTCCTCATGGTGAATTAGGATGATGCACTGGAATTCAGCCCCATTCTTCAACTAATGGCAGAAAGCTTGAACATACACACTTAGAACTGTGCTTATGAACCTGAATGATTTACTTAACTCTTTCTCCTACAGAAAGAAGACTGTTTGAAATACTTGTGCTAGGACTATGTTAGCCAAATATATTCCTGGTGTGCAATGGATGGGGCCCTCAATTGTAGAAACTCTAATCCACACTTCTGTTGCAGTATATTTCTCTTTTAACACTTGCCTTTCAGTAGTTTATCATTAATGGTTTAAGGGGAAAGAGGAGAGACACCTTCTGTGTTCTTTCCTTTCTCTCTAACCCTGGCAGTTATCCATTTACTTCATTCTTGAGGGCTAAGGATATGTTCATGCCTAAATGAAAGTGAAAAGAGCAGGAAGTAGCCATTCATTCCTAATAAGCAAAGTGAAACTTTTTCCTGTCCCTTCTAAGGGAGGCAGGTAGAGTGGGCAGATCCACAACTAAATTAAATTACTGCTGTTGTGCCTGAGTTCAATGGAGCTATGACAATTTATACCAACTAAGGTTTATGCCATATAAAGATTTGTGGTTTTGTGTTTAAGGGATTCCTTGTGTACTTAAAGAGGAAAAATAGATATTTGATTTTAAAAAGGCAGTTTAAGATCCCAAAGCATGAATAAATGCATGAGTATACATATGTATTTTTCATCTACTTAAAGCTCAAAATAAGTGCATATAGAAGATGAAGCACAAGATCATTTCCTTGCATTTGTACTGTATGTTTCTGATGTGGCTGGCCATCCTAGACAAATATGGAAACCTGATTATAGTTCTTTTGCTAGGTAAGAAAAAGAAAAACAAATTTTCCTTTATTTTGTTCAAAACTGTCTTGTCATTTCTAAGTGCACACACACACTGGGTGGGATGTGGTGTCTTGTGTGGAGTATATTCCGAAGTGTTTAAGTTCCACTTTAAGGCTTTTCCTTCCTTTCCAATTTGTATAGACCATAGGGTGTCTAATTTCAAAAACAGAAATTGTCTGACTCAATTGGCCAGAAGCACTGGGTTGAGATCTTAGATGATTACAAATGTTGTCCTCTGATTTACTGGCAACCAGTATCACCCGACAGGGTGACTAGAAAAGAAAGCTGAAACAAAGAGAACTTTAAACCTGGCTGCATTGCCCTATTTAACAGAATGATTATTTCGGTAGTTTGAAACTTCTGGGTAACAACTCCTGCCGCTGCCGCAGGCTCAGATGTATTTGCCTTATAGCACGTTTCTTTTGATTGTGGTGACTTTCCCATCTGCATTTACTCTGAATCCCTCTGCCACCTCCCCCTCTTAGCCTCTCACATATGATTAATGTGGCCCCGCCCTCCATAAGGTAAACCTGGACCAGGTTGCCCTGGGCCTCATCTGAATAAAAATTTTTGGAGTATCCCAGGACTTCTGAAAACAGCACCTGGTTCCAGTTAGGAGTGAGGGCTAATTAGTATATGGTTCTTTTGTGGGTGTATCTGGAGTACACACCAATACTGAGCAGTTGAGGCACAAAGCTAGCTGGTCCAGCTTCAGAAGCAGAACTCTCCACGGTAAGTAGGTGCTATAAGTACTACTCAAAAGTGTGTTTATGGAGTACCTGTGCTAAAACATACATCAGTTTCAAAGAAAGATAACATGCATCAATTCTGGATGTGTTCTGCATGGGTACTGAATGCAAATTGCTACAACCATGTTTAATGTTAAAGGCCTTTGTTTTCAAATTTGCTCCTCACTTTCAGGGAAGAGAGGGGAAAGGGACTGCTGAAAGAAAGAGTTGGAGGCGGGGAGCAGAGAGCAAAGGGACCACTTTGACCCCCCAGATTTATTTTCTCTGCCATAGCAGTGGAAAGGGGACAAATTCAAGGCAAATCTCCAATAGGTAGGTTCTATTCCTAGAAAATTATACAAATTGGTAAATTTCCATTATTAAAATATAATGGGGGGTTGTCTTATATCAGGGCCATCAATTCAAGTAAATATGGTAATCCCAAATGAGGCAAAACATGTAGGTACATGAACCTGGCTGTCCTGTAACTCACATAAGTAAAGTAACACCCTGGCCATTCAGTCTGTCTATCCTTTTTTCTGCCCTTCCTCCCTACAAATGGAGAAATAGACAATGAGCTGTCTTAGTGCATTTGGCAAAACTATTCAAACCAGCTCTGCTTACAACCCTACTGGATGTTCTCTTCCACTTTCAGGAAATAGTTCTGCAGCTTTCTTAAAGAAAATGTATAGGCTCTGTAAAATATCAAAAAGACTTTGTTTAGCTAAATATTAATGTGCCAACAGAAATAATATATACTGCTAAAAATTTATATATATATATATACATACACACACACACACACACACACGTGTTAACAGAAATAAAGCACATCAGTGTTTATTTTCTCGATCATTCTTACACTATTAAGATTACTTTGTGGATTAGCATCCTTATATTTTATAATATAGATTTAACTAATATTATAATTTGTCAACTGACAAAAAATATAGTGTATTTTATATGCCTGTGTACACATACATGCACAAATATGTAAGTATGCACGGGAAATTCTGTGTTACAAATCAAATGCTTTCAGCCACTTAATAGGCACGTCTACATGTGATGCTACGTCACTGTAGCAACGCACTACGGCAACATAGCATCCATGGATGTCTACACATGTCCAGCAGCTACTTCGCCATTATAGCTCACTGCTATGGTGAAGTAACTGCTAAAAATAACTATGTGCTGCACGTACGGCGCAGTATGGGCAGTTAGTATTTCCAAGATGAAGTACTAAAGCCTGGTGCAGTAACAATATCACCATAGGGCAATGTGTAGATGCACCCAATAATACTTTAAATGCTATAGTAGGTACATAAATACATAATGTCATTGCAATACAATATACTTTATTTTTTATACCTTCTTTTGTACAAACTGTATCTCAAAGTCCTTTGGAGTTTATTAAGACACTTGCAGTTTTTAAAATACCTAACAATATGAAACTTTTCATTCTAAAGAGTTAAAATACTACACAACCATAGCAACCTAAGGCATTTAATTTTAAAATCTCATTACTGCTCTAACTTGGACTACTACATTTGCAGTAATGCCAACTCTCAAGAAAAAATCACAAGACCCCTGATTTCCAAGTCCAATTAACTCTGACTCATGATCTCCTGATAGAGAGATCAAATCTTGGGATTTTTTCTTCTGGCACATGTAGACAGGGCCATGCCAGTAAATCTGTGGAGGGGAAGGGGCAGAGGGAGAAGGAAGGGATGGGGGGCACAGATCAAGGCCCCCACAGGGAGTGAGGGAGGCAGCAGGGGCTGGGGTTAATGGGGCCCCGGGGCCAGGGCAAGTCATGCAACAGAGCTGTGGGCAGCTGTCTGTCTGTGTGCATGTGTACGTGTGTGTGTGTGTGTATATCTGCCCCTCACTCCTGACCCACAGTATCCTGCATCCTGCCAGGGTGTGCGGGATGCCCCCTACCCAGACTCCAAACTCAACCCACACAGACCCACAGCCCACTACACCTTCACAGATAACACCCCCCCCACACACACACACACACTTTAAAAATAACAGTTCATGATTTACGTTCCAAATCTCTTGAATTTTAAGAGTTTGTCTCGTGATTTTTGACATGGTGGGGTTGGCAATACTGCACCTGTGAAAGTTGAAAGCATATCATTTTTTATATCAGCTCTCTTACTGGAACATCTTCCTTAATTATCCAGATTTTTTTAAAGGAAAGTCAGGCATTTCACAATTCAAAATAGAGCTAAAATTAATTTATTATTGTTATATACTCCACATAAACATATTGTGAATGAGCAATATGCGCACACAACTGAAAAAGGCATTTGATATTTGTTGGGTCCTGACTGACTGAAAGATCAGCAATACAATGTGTTTTAGGAAAGGACATTAAGCATAGCTAGAATTCCATTGTTCTCTTTTAGGTGGCAAACCTGTTCTAGTCCATTTCAGAAAGGCAGCTCAAACACAGAACTTATTAGATAGAATTCATAGATAGAATTGTTAATTTTGTATTTGTATTAATTTTAATAGAATTGTTCATTTCATTATCAAGAATATAAAGACCACATGTGAAAGTTTCTCAACTTGGGGCTTCCCTGGCAAGTTAAACCTGCTTAATGGAATCAGCAGATTGCTGCTGATTGCCAGGAATTTGATTTCATTTAGCAGGCAATTCCTTTAAGGGAGGTTTAACATAATGTGACAATGTGAAAAAAATCTTGAAACTCTAGAACTTTTTTTGCCTTCTTCATACAGTTCTATGAGAGAGAATTTCAGTTTCCCAGCCCCTGCAGCAGTCATAAACAGTTATCAGGAAGGATCTCTACAGTAATCTAGTCAGTCTGTGGTGCCTAATTATCACATCACTGTAAGGTGGGATAAAGTGACTGAGAACTGCAATGCTTACAGGAATCAGACAGGAGATTTTTGATGTTATTAAACAAACCACACCTGGCCCCTCCCTTTATAAACCATGCATGTACCAAACACAAACACATGGAACAGCATAGGAGGGAAGAGTTTTAAAAAAGCATGACTCACTTTACTGATTGATTCTTTTATCTGGTAGTCATTAAAATGAACTTTTATATAGTAAACCAGCTAGAGCTTATAGAACCATTTTTTTTCTACCAGTGGAGAAGGCACTGGGTTGTCTAGAGAAATCTAGAGATTCTTACAGCTCTATGGGTGTGGAAAACCCTTCTCTAACTAGAATGCTTCTAGCCACAGTTGCAGCTGCTATGGATATGCAGAAGGCAATGGATGTTTTGCTTACTTTGAGCCATTAAAATCAATGGGAAGTTCTGCTTCTGAACTGTTAACATGACATATAACCCGTGTTTTCTACTCTGTAGAGTCAACCTATGGCTATGAATCATTTCTGCAATCTCAAAACCTGAATAGAGAATAAGCATGAAAAATACATTAAGTAAGATCCATAAATAGACCAAACTTTGATACTGTGGACTGCTGAGTATCCTCATCTTCCAATGAAGTTATTAGGACCAGGAAATAATCAGTACTTCATAGGAAATGTTCAGTTAATTGCAATATCCATTTATAAATCCACTCTACATTATATCCTCTACAATTCAAAATATCAGTTAAAATATTTGTTATAAGAAAATAAAGTATGAAGTAGCTCATAAATAATTTAGACTACATTTGATTCTAGAGTTTTGCAACCTTCTCTCAAAATATTTGTGAGGCATAGCTCAGCAAATAAATAATTTATTATGGATTGTTTGTTCAGTTCTACCCTGAAAACTAATTCCAAACACAAATCAGTCCACTTATTGATGTACTGTGAATTACTTGTATCTAACCTCAAGTGAAAATTCAGCTTGTCAGTCTTGTACCTATTTTAGTACGTCATCTAGATTGATTTTTTTTTATTGGGGGTGTGCAGTTTGTTGCATCACAGAACTGAAGTTCATAATATAAGGTAACTATTTTCTATGATTCTTGGGTCATTTTGCATGCAGCCTGCTTGCCAGACAACTTGTAAAAATAATAGAATTTGATCTGTAGACCCAATCCTAGCTCTCAATTTGCTGCCTTAGGTAAGGAACAGTGCCCTCCTCTAGTCCCTCAAAAAGGAAAGGCCTTCTGAGTTGCCCAATTGCTATTTCAAGAGCAGTGACAGAGTACTGCTGCTTGATCGGGAAGGGAATTATGCTCTACTTCTTGTTCAGGAGTGTTAAATGCCCATAGAGTAGTACACCTTTTCTTTTGGTAGCAAAGCAAGTTAATTTATGTAGCCTAACCAAGGGTTTACCTGCCACTGAAACTATATTGAGAATCACCTGAAAATGAGTAGAGTTGGAGGCCCAGGGCAAGGTTGACTGAGTAGTAAGAATCTTACTTGCCTCTAGCCTAATTTGGATAGTCAAAAAACCCACAACCACTGCCATCCAAATGTGTAACCTTGGGAGCACCTTCCTGTGTTGCTTTATTCTGATGACTAAGGCTGACACTGTGCTGCAGATATGGCTGCTGTTCCTCCTGATTTTTAATGATAAGATTCCACACCCAGGAATTTAGGCTTAGTGGAGTCTCAATCGGTAATATTTTTTATCAAAGGCAAATGTCATCTTTCTCATCTGAGACATTTCATGGGAGCATGACTAATTCAGACACTTTTTAATGCAGGGTTGTTCAACTGGTCGGCCACACGTGACCCCTGAAAGGCTAGCATGTGGCTCATGGGTTCCCACCAGGCCATTACTCCTCCCATCAGCAGCTCTTTCCATGGCTGCCAGGAAAGGGCTAGAGTGCCTGAGCTGCATGGCAAAGCCAAGTTGCCCACACTGCAGGAGGTTGATTCATGCAGCTGAGAGGGCGGGGGCAGATACTGTGCATGTGGCAGGGGGAGCTGAGCTGAGCTGAGCTGCCTGCAGAGGAAGAGAGGCTGCCCATGAGGCTACAATGTGGAACTAAACAGCCCACAGAGCAGGGGACTGGAGCCAGGGGAGTCCCAGCCCACCAGTACAGACAACATATGGTCCCTGGGTCTGTGGCTCCTCTCTGGAGTAAGGCTGCCTAGAAGTTAAACAGCTCTGTTTTAATGGCTAAATGCTGCCGACACTAAGCCAGAGAGAGTTGGATGCCAGTTTGTAGACTAGAGAAATATTAGCAGCCAGCTAAGGTGGGTGAAAACAACTGGAAACAGTGAGAGAATTAAATGATAAGAAAAAATTGAGAAAAATATTGCACTGAATATATTATCAAAGCATACTGTTTTAATTTTTGTTTAGCCTGACAATAACTGAACCAGATTATCCTATTTTATATTTTAGAAAATGTCACTCAGCAAACGCTCTAGATTGCTTGAATGTTTATTAAAATAGACCAAAAGCCAAAAGTCTCTGAGTAAATTAATAGCTTGTTTTTGCTAAGTAACTGTATTTGTGAACAAAACACAAAACTCTAACTTCTGTGTTTTGAATGTCGCAAATATTAAGATTAAACACTGGGCTCAATTGAGTAATATTTTTGCTTGCCTTCCTTTATACAAATTGCTCACTGAAGCCATTTACTTCACGTTAGCTCTTAACATGACTAATATTTTTAAAGTTTACTCCATTACTAAAACGAAAACAACAAAACAGGCCTATTACCATAATTTAACAGAAAACAGAACCATATTTTCATTATTTAGGAAAACATAACGTTATAAATACAGCTGTTTCTCATCCACAATTATATAAATAATAAACATGCTGCCAATCACAATAATTTCAATAGCTGGTTATATATAAGCAATAATATTACGATCTCATGAGGAATGGCCTGAGTTTTCATCATTCATCTTTGCAGTTCTTATTCGGTGCCTTTGTCTTCATCTGAAAAATGAGGAACGGATTTCTTTGCGACAACATTGTCCAGTCTCTGTCCTTGCAGGTATGGGTTCACACTCTGAAAAAAGTTTAAAAAAAACCCAAAAAACAAATTAAAAGATACTAATTATTAATGGGGAATTATACCCAACTAGCAATAATAGGAATATAAACAATTTTTACCTGTTGTGTAAACTGATAGATTGTTAGGAAGCCAAACAGATCAGATAAACAGAAGTGACCAAGTCACTTGCTTTCAGAAGTTCTGCACTCTCCACCTGACCCGACTTTTCTAAGTGTATTTTTCACTGCTTTAGTGACTTTAGTCCTTCACAGCCTACTTCCATTCTATGGAAAATTAGGGGCTCACCTCTACCAAACTAGATCAATAGTATATTGGGTGTTTTATCAGTAAAGAGAAATAAATCAAACTCAGTGGGTTGCTCTCCACAGAAGCAGCATGTGTGTGATCAGGTTAGTAAAAGTATATATAGCATTACATGTTGCAGCTTCACCAGTATTTCAGGGTATACTAAAGGAAAGCTTATTTTGAAAGAATAATTGGCCTGGAAATATTCAGAGTTTCTCCCTGGGAGCTATTTCTTCTTCAAGGACTGTGAAAAAGAAACAGCTCAAGGGAATTAGCTTTACTAGTTTCAACTTGGTCATTGTTTTTTTCCTAAATAAACTCTAGTGCAAGAAATAATGTATTCCACTAAAAAGAATAAAGGCTTTAGTTGTACTTACTGTGCAATGTAGAAAAATGAATGAGAGAATTTAACAAAATCTAAATAAAATGCCAACATATTGATTTTCTTCTGTTCTACTCAGAGCAAAGAGAAAGGGGGATTGACAATAAGCAGGATACAGATCTCTGATTCTCAGCTACACGACACTAGCATAAGTTAAAAATACAAGGGCAAGCTTTTGCTACTAATGTAATGTCTCTCATGGATCTTATGCCAGTGGAAGCTGGCTGTCCTTTTCCTCATCAACAGTCCTTTTCAGACCCCTGCCTTTCCATGTGAAAGAGCACCCAAATGGAGAGTCTGCTGCCAATCTTAAACTGGAAAAAGTTCCTCCTTGACAAAGGAATACTACCAGGACAACCCTTGGCTATTTTGAGTTCACTTTGTGCTATGCAAGAAGTATCAAACAAATGTGGAGGCTCCATGAATCCAGCTGTGGAACTATTACAACAGTGTAGTGGAGTAAAAAGTGTCTGGGATCAATTTTCAACTATTTACTCTTTTCTGGCAGTATAAAGTAGCCTTATTGTGAGCTTAAATATTAGTAAAATCCACTGTGAGGCCCCTTTATAACCTCAGGTGAGTCAAATACTCTCTGTTCACTCATGGATCTGAATAAAACTTGGCAGCATGGCTTCTTATTTTCAATCAAAGTTCTGTGACACCTTAAGGCTGGAAGCAGACGTTGCTTTTGTATCACCATGAACATTTTTATGGTGGCACAAAGGCCAAGAAAACAGATGTCTATGTCTCTTGTCATGCCATAAACGCCCCTATCTATGGCTGTAACAATAGACAGCAATATAAACGTGTGCACCAAGCTCCAGGGCCTGACCATAGTCTGCTGTCCCCGTGCACTAAAGTGTCATGGGGATAATGCTCAGAGTTCAGTCCCGGACCCCAATATCTTCCCCCTACCATGTCCAAGACCTGCAGGGGAACAGGCCCTGCAGAGGACCAGTGGCCAGAGTCCTGACAACCAGCACCAGCAGGGAAAGGAGCTTCCAGACACAAAACATTCCCAGTGTGGCACAAGGCCCCATTGGTGGGGTACTAGTACTTGACTGAAGACAGCAGGGTTCATCAGTGGACCATGATGAGGCTGCATCCCCATCAGTGGAGCTAGCTCCCCCTGCACCCTCACAGCACCTGTCCACCACATACAATAAGACATCCCTGCTCCAGGGGTGTACTCTCTGTTCTCCATCATTTTTGGCAGAGTGGAGTTGCAGAAGACCCTGGCATCATGATGCTGCCCAGTCAGCCACTGAAGATGTGGGTCAAGTGGCCACAGTGGTTTGTACGACAACATGAAGCAGGACAGAGAAGAAACCCTTGTGGTTGACTAACTCCATGGAGTCTTGAGGTAGGCAGACAATGGGAATACAAGTGTTGTTGATGGCCCCTATGCAGTTGGGAAAGCCCATCTGGCAGAATCCAGTGATGACCCTCTTGTGACTTGCTGTGTCAGACAACATGGCTCACTAGCATGTCCTGCATGATCAGCACACCTCCTGAACTGCTGCTCTGGCCATGGACTTCCCGATGCTGAACTGGTTGACAGTGGAATGGGGGCTGCAGAGAGATGTGAGCTTCCAAATGGTGGCTGGTGACATGCATTGTTGAGGTCAGGGGTGGCTTTATACCAGTGTTCTGCTGCTTGATATAGAAGACCAGGTAGGCAACAATGACCATGAAGGTGGCCCAGCACATGTAAAAGTTCTGCAGCCACTGCTCAACATCTCAGGTGCCCAGAATGATCTGCTCCCAGTAGTCACTGCTCATCTTGCAGGCCAATCAGTCTGGAGTTGCTCCTAGACCACCCCAGATTTCATGGCCTCCATTAGGGTCTCATCCTCCTTGGCCATATGTTTCATAGTTGGTAGGGTTGGAAGGGACCCGAGCAGTCCGACCCCCTGCCATGGGCAGGAAAGAATGCTGGGGGTCAAACGACCCCGGCTAGGTGATTGTCTAGCCTCCTTTTGAAGACCCCCAGGGTAGGAGCGAGCACCACTTCCCTTGGAAGTTGGTTCCAGATCCTAGCCACCCTGACTGAAGTAGAGCCTCCTCATGTCTAGCCTGAATCTACTCTCAGTCGACTTATGGCCATTATTCTTTGTTACTCCCAGTAGTGCTTGGGAGAACAGGGACTCTCCCATTGCCTGCTGGTTCCCCTTGGCAAGTTTATGGATAGCCACCAGATCCTCTCTCAGCCTTCTCTTGTAGAGGCTGAACAGGTTCAGGTCCCGTAGCCTCTCCTCATAGGGCCTGCCCTGCTGCCCCCTGATCACGTGAGCGGCCCTCCTCTGGACCCTCCCAATGCTGTCCACATCCCTCCTGAAGTGCAGTGCCCAGAACTGGATGCAGTACTCCAACTGCGGCCTGACCAGTGTTGCATAGAGGGAGAGGATCACCTCCTTGGACCTGCTTATGATGCATTTATGGATGCATGACAAGGTGCAGTTAGCCTTCCTGACTGCATCCCCACATTGGTGGCCCATGTCTGTCTTGGAATCAATAATGACACCAAGATCCTTTTCTGTCTCTGTGCTGACAAGAAGGGAGTTCCCCAGCCTGTAGGTATGGAATTTGTTGGCTAGATCCATGAGGCTTGCTGGCCATGAGCACTGATAAGCAGCCTCACATGGGAGTACATGCCCTGGAGCCCTGTGCTGTATGCCACCATAAGCATCTCCTAGATCACCTCAAGACAGGCACAGAACATCTCTCTAAGTCTCTGGTGAAACGAGGAGGACAAGCAGGTGTTGGTGCAGCTCTTGGCTTCTACTAGAGGGGTAGGAGTGCATTGCAACATGCAGAAACAGAAACTGATACGATTGCTCTGGGGTTCGTCTTTCAAAGCCTCACATCTGCGAGAGAGAAGACAGCCAGCCAATCAGTGCTTCCCCATGCACTCAGCTGCTCTCAGCGCTCTAGCAGCCAAAGGTGCCCACAAAGGATGCTGGGATGTATTAAAGGGCCCCCCTGGCTCTAGGCCATCAGCAGACTCTCAAATACTTATAATGTTCTACTGATAAGTTTTCCTACCAGGGGAACAAAACCGTGAGACTTCCTGTGGTTCATTTGAACGTTTGTACATACCCAGTGGTAACTTTAAATCAAGACTCATTAAAAAATGATGCGTGTAAACAGATTTTTTGCATTTGTTTTATGCAGATCTATTCAATATTCATTTAGCAAAATTCAACTGTTACACAACTTTCTAGGAATAATCGTAAAATTCTTAGAAGACTTAATTGGTTTGTTTTCTGAGGGAGCTCACTTCCTAATTTTTAGAAATGAGAAGAAAATGAGACTACATAAAGAATTCTTAAGAATTAATAAAACAGAAACCAAGATATAATGCAAAATTCTGTGTTGACATAAATCTCAGCTAACCCTGCTGAAGTCAAAGTAATATTATTGTAGCTCTGAAGTATCTCTTTTCTCTCAAACCAGATCAATAATATGGTCTGTGGTTTATCAGAACAGGGAGACAAAAACAAAACAACTCAATGGCAAAATCCAGTGATGATCTCTTCTGAGTTGGTGTGGCAGATGACATGGTTCACTAGCATGTCTTGCATGATCAAGCACACCTCCTGGACTGCTGCTCTGGCCATGGACTTCCTGATGCTGAACTGGTTGACAGTGGAATGGAGGCTGTGGAGAGATGCGAGCTTCCAAAGGGTGGCTGGTGTCATGCTTTGTTGGGGCCAGGGGTGGCTTGCAGTTTCTCTTGTGAACATAGGGCAAAACCCAACTGTGTCGTTAGATGGAGAAGTAGCACTATATTATTAGTGTTGGCTACATAAGCAGCATTTCAGGCCATTTGAGAGGATTTAAGATTCTATTCCCATGGTAAAGGCACATGATTATGCGTAAGTTGCAGAAAAACAACGGAAGAGCAGGTACCTCCCATGCTTCAGCCCAGTAACCTAGTTATTAGGACATTTACTAGAGGAATGGGAGACCCAGGTTCCAGTCCCCACTTACACAGAAAGGGTTTGAACATACATCTCCCTCTTCCCAGAAAAGTGTCCTAACAACCAACTCAGACTAGATATTGCCAAAAACAACCTCCACCATCTTTTGAAGCTGAACCATTGGGCAGCCAAAAGGAAAAGATATGCAGGACCAGATGGAGAACTAGCCACAGTAAGGGAAAGACAGGGACTTGGGTTCTATGCCCCTCACGTAGGGCAGAAGCTCACTCACTGCTGTCTGTCCATCCAATGACTGTTAAGTGAAAGCATGCAGAAATACCAGTGGGGCAAAGGCAGGGGCCAAAACCTTAAATCACCCTCCTTTCCAAAGCAGTATCCATCAC